CCAAGATTTGTGAAGGCTTCAAATACTCTATGCTTGCGCCACATGAGCATACCCCAACTTCTGAGAAAACGCACATCTACTTTTAACCAGCGGTTGCAACCGCAAAGCACCACCACCTCCAAGTCCAGAAGGGTGCGCTACTTGGGGTCCACGCAACCCAGATGCGGAGCGCGAGCGCGCAGCACCCCGCCGGACACCCCGGGCCGGGGGACAGCAACGCGGGCTCGGCGGTCATTCATTACCCCTTCCCGCTGGGCACGGCGCTCTGCCCCCACCACCCTCGCAGGCTCCAAACCGAAGTCAGCCCGACAGGGGTCACACGAGCAGCTCTGGGGACTTGGAAATCGCTAGCAAGAAAAACACTTTTACAGTAACAAAAATTATCCGCGTTCTTGATTTTCCAACCCGAACTGAGGAATATTCCAGAATTCAGAGAAGAACAGTACACTCGGATGTTCCAAAGTCTAGTGTGACAGAGAGACACCATCTGGACTAGGTCCAAGGCTGCACAGGGGTGCGCGGCGGGAGACCTCGGCGGCCTCGGGCACGTCCGACCCGCGCTGCCGTCGGGCGGCGGGGCCGGCGCGTTACCTGCAGCAGGTGCAGCTGGGCCACAAGGCGCCGCGGCAGATGGAGGAAGCAGTCACGAGCATTGGTCAAAGCCACAGTCACCGCCACCCCGTCGACCGCCGACCCGGCCAGGCGGTCGCTGCCCCACATCTCCCCAAAGCGCAGCTGGGGTACTGCCCACTGTGGAGCGCGACCGACTCTTAACCCCGCAGGCCAAACGCGTCGGAGCCGGAGAGGGTCGATCGGTTCCGCCCCTGAGGCCCCGCCCCCTCCTCCGAGGCGCGGCTCCCCTCGAGCCTCGTAAGGGGGCGGGGCAAGCAAGCCTCTGCCACTCATTGGTTCTCTCCTCCAAACAGCGGCGGGGGACGGCACTGTGTTCAGTGAATTCTAGCTCTCAGGAAACGATGGTCGACGCTGTCGATTCTCTAGCCAATCCTGGAAAGTCGTGGCCCGTCCCGCTCTGTTATTGGATAAATAGTAGGTTAGCAAGGCGGATGTTGTGCTCCAGGTCAGCTTTAGAGCAAGCAACATGGCGTCGAGCGACGGGCAGCTTGGAAGTTTATTCGACCACCACGTCCAGAGGGCGGTTTGCGACACAAGGGCGAAATATCGAGAGGGCCGAAGGCCTCGCGCGGTGAAGGTGAAGTGATTTGTTTCATTCTTTATCTTCTGTAGCTCTGTGAGCCCCCGCTCCACAGGGCCCGCCTAGATAAAGGCAGAGCGAGACTGCCTGTCAGATCCTCCATGGAAAATGGCATGCGGAACCTTGGCGTAGACACCAAAGGGTATTATTACTCGTTTGCTTAACTATTAGATCGTCATTGTGCAAGAACAGGGCGTTGTTTTAGTCTTTGTATTATCTGTATTTACAATAGTGCTTGTCACATAATAAGTGCTCAAAAAAATAACGTGACTTCCCAGTGATGTCTACCGAGCCAACTGCTAGAGAAAAATGACAATTGAGAGTAGCTTGTTATATGTTATAGTTACATTTCCTCACACCTGTAGTATATTCTTTATGGAGAGACTGTAGCATTTTAAAACATTTTCTGTAGAGGCTGGGGAGAGCTCAGCAGCTTAAGCGCCTGCTTAACAAGCGCAAGGTCGCGAGTTTGATCCCCGGTACCACCAAAAAATAAAAAATAAGTTAAAACATTTTGTGTTTTTCACAGGTCAAGTTGAACAACGCTTTACGACAAAAATTAAGGGCAAATTTGTCCTAACTTTATTTGCAAAACACATTTAATGAGTCTATTTCTTTAGGTCTATACAATCAACTTGGAATCTCGGTACTTACTGATACAAGGAGTTCCTGCAGTAGGAGCAATGAAGGAATTAGTTGAACGATTTGCTCTATATGGTACAATTGAAGAGTATAATGCTCTAGATGAATACCCAGCAGAAGACTTTACAGAAGTTTATCTTATTAAGTTTATGAATTTACAGAGTGCAAGGTAATGTGCAAGTTAAGCAGTGTCTCATTCCCTTCATTCCTATTGCTGTCATTTTGGCCTCAGGTTTCTCGCATTCATACTGAATTTGCTAAAAACTTAACGTGGCCCTTTATTACTCTTATCTCACTGCAGTCTTTTAAAAGGCTAACCTTACCCAAACTTATTTCCAGCCCTTCATTCCCATCCTTAACGCTTGCTATGCTGTAGTATGGTAGACTAAAATTTGAATGTGGAGTATGTTTTCTAGTACTGCTTACTAGTTGCATAACTAGCAAGTAATTTAATCCTGCTATGTCTATTTTTTCCTTTTTTAAAATCCAGGTAGTAAAAAACCTATATCTTGAGGGATGAGGATGAAGTGAGACAACTTGTGTAAAGGGCTTAGAAAAATGCCTTCTGTTCAAAATGCAATAGACATTAACTATTATACTTCCTATTATGTAAATTAGCTCCATCTTTCCTTGACATCTATATAACATAAATGTACTCCATTAGGCTGGAGTATGCAATGCCTTATCTACTTTTGTGTTGCTCTACCTTCTGTATTTTTTGATTTATTTTTTATTTTTTGAAGAGAGTACAAATTAGTATTAAAAAAAAAATAGAAGTGATACAGAATTTCACTAAACCATTTCATAGTATTTGTTGTAATCCATAGTGTTGTATTCCAGCCAGTTACTCATATTATGAGACATATGCTTGTAAAATTAGAAGAAAGAAAAGACATGTATAAGAAATTGAGAAAAGGGCCGGGGAGATGGCTCAGTGGAATAAGTGCTTCCCAGGCAAGCACAAGGGCCTGAGTTCAATCTCCGGTTCCGAAAAAAAAAAAAAAAAAAAGATTTAGCTTTTTTCCTTCAAATATTCATATGTGTTTGCTTGTATTATTCCAATGTATTCTTTGTACTTGGAAAAAAAAAAAGAAATTGAGAAAAGAAAAAGTGCAGTCAGTTGAAAAAAGGAGACAAAACAAATATTATGTGCTCCCTTCCATAGACCAGCAGAAATGCACAGTACAGTTGTCCAACCCATCCCTCTTACATACATAGATAAATCTCTTTCCCCCACTCCCTCTCCTGTGTGTTTATCCCTTTTCTTGTCAGTAATCTGATCTGAGACCCATCCTTCCCTGGCTATTCATTCATATTTCTTCTGGGCTACCAGTAGCTCTGATATACAGCAACAAAAACACTTGTTTTTATGCAGTCATATGTTGTTGTCAAGCAGCTCTTCTAATTTCACTTTTCTAACCAATATGCCAGCCCCTTATGATTAGGAAAGCATGTAGCACATGAGTTCAACCAGTAGCCCACAGGTTGGACAAAAATGGCTTGCCTAGGTTGCTTTGAGTGAAGAGGAATTGCTTTGAGCTTCATATAAAACAGGGGTACCTTGGTTCATAAATGCTTTTGTTTGCAAAGAGAAGTATTTGGCAAAATCTTGTTTTTGTTTTTGAGCTCTGCACTGAGTGATGAACACAGCTGTAGCCATCTTTCCTGCATAAATGTGAACATAGTCATCTTTTCCAGAATCGTAGAATGAATTAAGTTCGTAAACCAAAGTACCACTGTACATAATATAGTTAATGTATATAAGTAACAAAACTCGCTTTTTCATGTATTTATTATAATGCGTATAATATTATTGTATGTATTTATTATAATACATATCTGAATCTTTATTAATGGACCATGTTGTCATGTATTTCTGTTTAGGATAGCCAAGAGAAAAATGGATGAACAGAGTTTCTTTGGTGGATTGCTTCATGTTTGCTATGCTCCAGAATTTGAGACAGTTGAAGAAACTAGAAAAAAATTAGAAGAGAGAAAAGCTTATATAGCAAGAGCTACTAAAAATAAAGGTATAGAGACTTTTTTTTAATGTCTTTAGCGCAGGGTCTACAGGGTCCCACTACACAGATCTGACTCATAGTTACTCATCTGTTTTCAGCCTCCTAAGCTCTAGGATTATAGGGGTGCACTACCACACCCAGTCTCAGTTGCCTCTCAGCACACCCCAGGGGCAGGGCTGGAATAGCACACGACACTGGGGGATTGAACCTGGGTCCCTGCATCTACCTAAGCAGGCGCTTTAATCTGCTGAGCTATCTGGCCGGCCCTAAGGATTTTATCGCTAAATACTTCATATGTGTCAGGCATTCTGATACATACACCATTGAGAATGCCCAGTTTAGATGGAGGACAGCCAAGTAAGTGATCACGGTATTCAATAAATTAAATCACGGGGCTCTCTGTAGCATTATATATAAAGTGGGTTGGAAAAAGAGAGCTGTTGGTTATCTCGGGTTTCCACATCCCACTCTGATTGTACAGTCTGCTTCTGGGAGGACAGATCAGGCAAGAGACTTGTACAGATCATAAAAGTGTGCCCAGCATACTGTTTGCATTCATGACAAAAACTAAACATGTTACATTCATGTAGTAGAATATTCTGAAGCTGTAAAAAAAGCATTCTATGTAGTTACATGGTAAAACTCTAAGCTCTACATGTAAGTGGATCAGAGGAGAAGTATTGAAGGTTGCTTCTGGAGTCGACAGAGGAAGAGTGGCAGGTGGATTGAAGCAAAATAAGACATGGGATACATAAATAAGAAAGAATAGGAAATACGTAAGAGAGAAAACCAGATATCTGTGGAGTAAGAAGGTGAATTTTGATAAGATATACCTTTTTTATTTTTTTAAAAGGCCTTTAGGGGGCTTGCCGATTAGCTCAGTTGTTTAAAGTGCTGCTTGGGCAAAAGCAGGTCAGGTGGGGCCGGGGAGATGGCTCAGTGGAATAAGTGCTTCCCTGGCAAGTGCAAGGGTCTGAGTTCAATCCCCAGTTCCGCCAAAAAAAAAGTAAGTCAGGTGCCGGGACTGCGGTTTGATCCCCACCTCCTGAACTAGCCAAAAAAAAATTTCTTCAAAAGGCCATTAAACCACATCAGTACATTCTTTGCTTAAGAAATAAAATCTTGCAGCCAGGTGTGGTGGCACATGGCTCTAATCCCAGTACTTGAGAGCCTGAGGCAGGAGAATCTCCGAGTTCCAGGCTAGCCTGGGCTATGTAGGAAGTTTGAGGCCAACCTGATAATACATTAGAAGACATGCCCCCCCCCCAAAAAAAAGAAAGAAAATTATTGGAGTGGAATATGGTAACAGTTTTTAAGTTTTTTTTTAATTACATGATTCTGAATGATAAAAACAGTAAGTGAACTATTTCTGTTTTCTTTCCCCACAACTTTTAAACTGTAATACAAAAAGACTATTATATGACAAAGAAGAAAGCAGTTCCAGAGCATAAAGACACAGAAGATCTTAGACGTGCCTTCCACTCAGGTATGTCTGGATTTTC